GTGGGCTCTCGGTGTCCGCAGAGTCTGAGGTAAAAGGGGGGAGCAAAAAAAGCCCACGACTTGCCATCAACGCAACCTGTTCACTCCATCACACACACAGGCGAGAGAAAGATCAAACCGTTGCCATGGAGATAGTGTGTTTTCTGCAACTTCCTCCCGCGAACAGTCAGGCTTTTCTAACCAGATTTCCAACCCCCCTTCACACACACAATCATCCATTTAACGTCAGGGGGGGATGAAAAGTTGTATTTACGGGTCTGACCACAAGTTCAAACACATGCAGATGAGAGCGGGGAAGCTGATGTCATGATTGTAATGTGATTGTAAGAGTGTACAGACTTGTTTTTCTCATTTGACCAAATACATATATTTCCATGGGGGCGACAGTGGCTCAGTTGGTAGAACATCAGCCTTTGGGCCAGAAAGTCATGGGTTCGAGCCCACCATGATACCTACTCCACGACTCCCACTGATGTCTGCTGTTGTTGTGTCCTTGGGCAAGAACTCCGGCTCCGTATTAAAAGTGCTAAGCGTCTACATGATGACGGAAAACGATTAGGTTCTAGCGCCCTGCCAGTAGGGGGCAGTGGAACTTTACAGCACGACACAAGTGACGTATACCACACCAGTATACCACACCAGTATAACCACTTGCTCTGCAACGTCTCGGCAGAGTCTCAAAATGGGGCCTGAAACTACAGCTTTGCGTGGTTTCGTTTGGACGGACAAAGGAGAAGAATTTCTCCTTTGTGTAAGGTTCGAAGTACACGTAGCATTAGTTGATACGTCAGCCTTTGTTGTTTACATTTGTTCTCGGCTACTGCGCATGTCCATATGTACGTGCTGGGAAGTGGGGAGGTAATGGGCTAACTAATAATAAAACACGGAAGTGGTGCGTGCATGGAGCCCATTGAAGACAGAGAGATCTTTTTCTTCAAATGGCTGCGAAACAGCCCCCCGCCGCACAACGTATCTGTTTTGGACCACTCTTAAAAAGGTGCCATATTTTGATTTTCTTCAAAAAAGCAAAATATGTGATAATAATTTGGAGGATTCACCATACAACACTCAAAACTTGTCAAATTATAGCCATTCCGTGCATAGAGGTGATGTCATCTCATGTGAAACGATCTGATCTGTGCTCCTCTGTCTGTGAGCCCGCCTCCCCCCGCCCGCGCGGTGACGTACCATAAAGGAGGTCTCATTTCAAGGTAAACATAGTTCTGGAACAGTCTTTGCTGGTGTCACCGTCACTTTCAAAAAAACATCTGCGAGTTTCGCGGATTTCAGACTTGCGCGTACACAAGGCAGATCCCCGTGAACAAAGTGGATCCCCATTCTAAGTCTTCAAAAATAAAAATACTCCAAAATACTCTTGTCACATATTTACACCAACAACACATTTTCTCCAAGTTGACATGAAGCTAACACAAAAAAGCACAGACGCTTATTTACTGTCTATGGACCACATTCTGGACTCGGAGAGAGGCTGAATGGGCTGACCATAAGACGGCGCTGATTCGCTGGTTCAGTTTCTCCCCGCTGTCAATCACCTCGTGGAGGCGGGCTTTTGACATCACGGATTGTGCCACGTCACAATTTGAAACAGCTTGTTTTTGTGCCTTTCGAGAATGAAAGAGAAAGATTGCTAAAGCTTGACAGAATCAATGAAAAAACTACTCTGGGCATGTACTGTATATGAAGCCCAAATAGCACTGTAATCATGCTCAAACCTGAGAAAAGTCAAAAAACGTAATATGGGACCTTTAACGCTCGTGTTTTAACCCCCCTTTCGTTCAAATGTAGTCAATGAAGGCCAATCAAATACCCTACTGTATCGTTTTACGGTTGCAGCGTCTCCGCGTAAACAGCCTCTCAGTAGTTTCGGACAGCAAATGGACTGGTTTCACACATCAATCGGAGCACATGCAACTTGCTCGATCAGATTAAATTGGAGTAGGCATGTTATCCGGTTTTCATTAGTTCATTGTAAACAATTACACTAATACTCAACACTTTCAAATGTTTCTCACAATAGTTGGCTGGAATTCTGAGCTCTATCCATGACTTCTGGTCATGGAACTTGTATAAATAAATAAACAGAAAGGTGTTCACAGGGACCCTTTCACAATAACAAAACATAAAAAAAGGCATACACATATGAAGCTCAAGCGGATGTTCAGACTGAAAGACCGAGTGCCTGCCAGCCTCGAGCCTCAGCCAATCACACAGCTCTGCCAGCCTCGAGCCTCAGCCAATCACACAGCCAGGCCAGCCTCCTGCCAACCCTCTCAGAGCAAAGCGGGCAGTTTAAAAGGCAGCCACTTCCTGACAAACAACGCTTCCTGAGGCTCTTAAACAACCATGGGCATGGTTCTCTGACCGCCGCTGCTGCCGGTCCCTGCTGCTCCTACTAATGCCTGTTCCCTGATGCCTGCTCCCCGTTCCTGCTGCTACTACTGATGCCTGCTCCCCGTTCCCGCTGCTACTACTGATGCCTGTTCCCGCTGCGGCTGCTGCCTGTTCCTGCTGCTCCTACTGATGCCTGCTCCCCGTTCCTGCCGCTCCTACTGATGCCTGTTCCCGCTGCTGCCTGTTCCCGCTCCTGCTGCTCCTACCGCTGCCTGTCCCTGCTGCCTGCTCCTGCTGCTCCTACTAATGCCTGTTCCGCTGCCGCTCCTGCTGCTGCCTGTTCCTGCTGCCGCTCCTGCTGCAGCCTGTTCCTGCTGCCTGCTCCTGCTGCTCCTACTGATGGCTGTTCCCGCTGCTGCCTGTTCCGCTGCCGCTCCTGCTGCTGCCTGCTCCTGCTGCCGCTCCTGCTGCTGCCTGCTCCTGCTGCTCCTACTACTACACGTGCCGCTGCTGCTGTTCCTGCCGCTGCCGCTCCGCGGGCTCCCAGGCTGCACCTACGGCTCGGCTCTCTCAGACAGACACGTATGTAACCTGGCTCCCAGAGACAAGCGGCGCACGCTGGCGTGACATGGTCTGCTTGCCCGTATGAATCGCATTGTGGTTGCGTCGTACGTGCTTGTCCCGGGCCCGTGATTGTCCCGTGCCATCGTTTGTTTGGGGTCTGTTCCTGCTTTGACCCGCTCTGATCTGCTCGTCAGTGCTTATTGGCGCCGCTCCTTAAACACGTCCAGGCTCCGTGTCACTGCTGCTCAAGTCTCCTCCGTGAGACAGTTCAAACTCTAGCGTGCTTGGTGGCATGCAAAATTACATTTTGGAGTCTTCCCTAATCAGTCTCCTTCTAAGGCCCGAATTGTTCGTATTAAGGCTTAATGTATCGGTCTCCGAGGCTTAACGACATATTGCACGTCCAGGGTGAATAGGAATCTGCAGCTTTGGCGCCTCTCTGATTTGGTTGCTCCCTAGACAAAGGCCTAATGTAATATTGCTCGCTCAGGGTGAAGAGGAATCTGCAGTTTGACGCCTGTCTGATTTGGACGCTCCCATAAGGTGAAGAAAGTGCGTTTAGCTTCATGGCCCTGTCACGCGCATAATGGCGTATGTGAATGCATGTTGTATAGCAAAGCATGGCAAGTTTATTTGTGTAGCACAATTCATACACAAGGCAATTCAAAGTGCTGAACAAAATAAGAAAGCATTAAAATCATAGATATTCACAGAACATTAAGAAGAAGGATAGAAATGTACGTTTTGACCTTGTCTTAAACATTGTCAGAGAGGAGGCCTGTCTCGCATCTTCAGGAAGATTGTTCCAGATTTTAGCAGTGCGAATCCGAAAGGCAGCCTACCCACGTTAGTTCTGACTCTGGACACTAACAGGAGTCCAGTCCCTGTGCTCCTCAGAGTCCGGGCTGGTTCACATGGGACTAACATGTCACTACTATTGTTGGTGCGAGGCCACGGAGGGACTCTACTTGTATATGCGCATGCACACGTAGGTACGTAGTATACGTGCGTGCATATATATTATGTATATGTATATGCATATGTGTTTTATAGTCTTAAGCTCGCTTCGCTCAGTTCTCATCAGGGCTGTCTCTGCTCTCGTCAAACTTTCCGTAGTTTAATCGTAATTATGATTAGATGCTTTGCAATGAATGATGTGTGTTACCTTCGCTGGTCGTCGGGCTATTCCGTTAAAAGACAACCTGTTCCAACTGAGGCCAAGGGAATCTGGGTTCGTAAATACTTATTCGGTGTCGTCCATTCTACTTCAGCGCAGCCAATATAGACGTGTCGTAACCCGTTCTGAGATGTTGTTGTTCTCGGTCGGGCTCGAATCTCCGCTAATCTGTAGCTAGCGAGACGACAGGAGGTCGTCATTCAGCCAACTTCAGCTCTTTCATAGTTCGTCCTAATGTTCGGACCAGTCCAATGCGGTTTCGCCTACGTGTCGGCCCCGGGACTAGTCTGGCGGACTGAAGTGGCCCTCGTACTGAAATCCTCGAGCCCCCTCCGCGTACAGTAAATATTGCTCATAGGGACGCGTTGCCCCTGGTCATTAGCAGTGTGTTTCATTTTATCCTGAGCAGGCTGGTGTCGATTATCAAAAGTGGTTTTATGCTTTGTTCCACCTCCGTGCGGAGTTTTGCATGTTCTCCCCTCGTCCGGCCGGTTTGCTCCGGATCCTCCACGTGCTCTGGCCTTCCCTCACTGCTACCGCGTGCAATTGATCCGCCCTGCGCCTCATACGGGCGATCTCTCTCCGATTCTCCGCGGAGTCGGGGGGCAGCATCCACAACGGTCACATGCTCTCTGCCGCACTCTCATGGCTCTGAGTCATCGTAACGGTTGCTCGCTCTACTGCTCGTTCTCAGGTGCCGCTCTGTTCGTGCTTATTCTGCTCCGTGGCCGCTCTTTGCCGTCGTTCTGAGTTTCCTAATTGCATCAAGATAGCTCTCTCCTGTCCAGAAGGAGTTTCGGTCGGTTCTTGTTTAATCTCTCCCTTATGTTGCAGGGCGCTCTTGCTGCACGGCCGCGCCTTGCGAATTATTCTCGTAGCGATAGGCCCTGTCATTCCCGCGCGGGGCATGCCCTTCCTACGCGGGGCTCGTCCATCTCAAGCCGGGCAGGCGTCTGGCCGTCACACTGGCCACCCGGCACACGTGATTACCCTCATCGAAGGTTTCGTAAATGCTCCCTCGGCTTGGACATGGAGAGAGAGAGGATAGGAGGGGGAGGACCAAGGTCTCTTGGTCCGTCCTGTCCTCTGTCACGTCCCAAACAGGTGCTGCTCTTCCGGCTGGGCCGCCTCATCCTCGCAGTGCACGTCATTCCTCAGGCCGTGGTTCATCCCCAGGCTCCTGCGCGCTCTGCAACCCTGTTTTCCTGTTCGCAGGTGCTGCGCTGACCTCAGCTTCAGCTGCTGCCTGCCGGAACGGCGTCTTTCATGATGGCGCCGCCTCTTCCACTTACTTATTTCTCTTCCACGGACGCGGCTCAGTCCGTGGGTTTTTTGGGGGTCATATCTAGGCCAGTGGTTAGCTGCACCCTGGCCCCAAGGACTTATTACCCCTATCACTATAATCCCTGCATTCAACACTCCAAAAGGAAGGTGCCGTCACACTTTCGTTATGCATTATTTTTCCCCTGTCCAGATAAACACCTGATGAAATGCACTCTCCTCCATGCACGGAGAGGAGATTCAGATGGGCTGCCATTTCTCTCTCTGTCAAATGACGTCATGTTTGCGCAATGCATCCAAGCCCATTAATAAATCCGGCCGGTCTCCTGTGATCTCCCGATTCTCCAATACCGGCCGCTGGATTAGAATAGCCGCCGCACTCCAGCCTGCTGGGCCTTCCTCACTCTTCCCTACAGCAAATGGGTCAATGGTCCACGGCTTGGTCCTGCCTCATCCTCTATCAGACTAACACTGACACTATTCTGACTGCTCAGCGCTCCCTCTTCAATCTGAGGTAATTATCAAATACTCTGGTGGTGGCTAAGGCTCTTCTCTCACATAAGCATTCTCAACATCTGTTGCACTTCAATCCGGACATGCATATGATCACCTTGACTTACATCATACATTCATGCTCACCGCAGCGCTCTGTGCAGAGAAGCTTCTCTGCATAACCCCCTACGGCTCACACTATACACGCACCTCACGAAGCGGCCCGTGCGTGAGAGGCAGCTCCGCACGCCCCAAGGGCCCACGCTTCTACACGCATAGTCATTACAGAGCGTGCGGACTCGTCACCCCCGCATATTCTCTGTATCATACGCTGACACACGCATGCTCAAATATAGCAGATCTTGTATGAGAAAGCTCTCTACATTGCTGCTCCACATTCTCAACACGCAGAGCCTGCATCAGCTCTGCGATTACACGCATCTACTCTTCTCTCACATAAGCATTCTCAACATCTGTTGCACTTCAATCCGGACATGCATATGATCACCTTGTCTTACATCATACATTCATGCTCACCGTAGCGCTCTGTGCAGAGAAGCTTCTCTGCATAACCCCCTACGGCTCACGCTATACACGCACCTCACGAAGCGGCCCGTGCGCGAGAGGCAGCTCCGCACGCCCCAAGGGCCCACGCTTCTACACGCATAGTCATTACAGAGCGTGCGGACTCGTCACCCCCGCATATTCTCTGCATCATACGCTGACACACGCATGCTCAAATATAGCAGATCTTGTATGAGAAAGCTCTCTACATTGCTGCTCCACATTCTCAACACGCAGAGCCCGCATCAGCTCTGCGATTACACGCATCTACTCTTCACTTCATGCATCCATCACGCACGCATGATCACATAGCCGCTCATTCAGTGAGTGTCTGTTCCCACAGATCCCCTGCGGCCTACGTCATACATGCACCCTCACGAAGCGGTCTGTGCGCGAGAAACCCTCCGCACGCTCCAAGGGCCAACGCTTCATACACGCATAATCATTACAGAGCGTGCGGATTTGTCACCCCCGCATATTCTCTGTATCCTATTCATGCAACTCTGCTTCCAGGCAATGCTGCCTCCATGCAATGCAGCCTCCACGCAATGCAGCCTCCACGCAATGCAGCCTCCACGCAATGCAGCCTCCATGCAATTCTGCCTCCATGCAATTCTGCCTCCATGCAATGCTGCCTCCATGCAATGCTGCCTCCATGCAATGCTGCCTCCATGCAATGCTGCCTCTATGCAATGCTGCCTCCATGCAATGCTGCCTCCATGCAATCTATGCAATGCTGCCTCCATGCAATCTATGCAATGCTGCCTCCATGCAATCTATGCAATGCTGCCTCCATGCAATCTATGCAATGCTGCCTCCATGCAATCTATGCAATGCTGCCTCCATGCAATCTATGCAATGCTGCCTCCATGCAATCTATGCAATGCTGCCTCTATGCAATGCTGCCTCTATGCAATGCTGCCTCTATGCAATGCTGCCTCTATGCAATGCTGCCTCTATGCAATGCTGCCTCTATGCAATGCTGCCTCTATGCAATCTATGCAATGCTGCCTCTATGCAATGCTGCCTCTATGCAATCTATGCAATGCTGCCTCTATGCAATCTATGCAATGCTGCCTCTATGCAATCTATGCAATGCTGCCTCTATGCAATCTATGCAATGCTGCCTCTATGCAATCTATGCAATGCTGCCTCCATGCAATCTATGCAATGCTGCCTCCATGCAATCTATGCAATGCTGCCTCTATGCAATGCTGCCTCTATGCAATGCTGCCTCTATGCAATGCTGCCTCTATGCAATGCTGCCTCTATGCAATGCTGCCTCTATGCAATGCTGCCTCTATGCAATGCTGCCTCCATGCAAGGCTCCCACGCCTCCAGATAGGCAGCTTCCCACGGGAGGCCTGCGCATTCCCCGGCACACATAGCGTGGCTTCCTCTTTTGGGGGATCTGAGATCATCTCAGCTGCAATCGATCTCATAGCTGCAAGTGTCACTGCCGGGGTCAATGCGCCAAACAAATAAATCATTTTAACGTATTTATCGTGTCTTTGGTCTCTTCAGATTGAAATGAAGCTCAAGCGGATGTTCAGACTGAAAGACCGAGTGCCTGCCAGCCTCGAGCCTCAGCCAATCACACAGCTCTGCCAGCCTCGAGCCTCAGCCAATCACACAGCCAGGCCAGCCTCCTGCCAACCCTCTCAGAGCAAAGCGGGCAGTTTAAAAGGCAGCCACTTCCTGACAAACAACGCTTCCTGAGGCTCTTAAACACCCACCACCTCCCCAGCACCCCCTCTGGCTCTTGGCTCCCGCTCTGGCTCCCGCTCTGGCTCTGGCTCCTGCTCCGCCTACGCCCCATTCACACCATACTCTAGCCACCACCAGTGATTGACCCCGGGGGATCTGAGATCATCTCAGCTGCAATCGATCTCATAGCTGCAAGTGTCACTGCCGGGGTCAATGCGCCAAACAAATAAATCATTTTAACGTATTTATCGTGTCTTTGGTCTCTTCAGATTGAATTACAGCCTTCCAACCCACACCAACACTGGCCATGTTGGCTACCAATTTCATTTTAGTGACTTATTAGCATCTGAATTGTGCAGATTCAGAGTTTGATTCAAAGTGTGGCTGGTTTACCATTAAAGCCACACTTTGATGGTAAACCAGCCAGCAGACTATATGGGAAAAAGCCAATACAATAGCACTTGGAAAAATGAAAGCTGCTCTGACAATGGTGACAAACAATGAGCCATTTAACCTGTGACCATTGTAACAGCTTTCTTTTGTTACCAAATAAATCTTCTTTTTTTTATATATATAGAAAAATACCTAGGCATGTTGCTCTTTAGATCCTTCATTATGATTAATTGGTCAGGGGTTCATAGATTAACAGCAGTGTCGTTAAGGGTGATTTAGGAATTAAAAGTTCTAAAAGTAAAAATATATATATATGGACAATGAAAGAATACATTTCAGTTTATTAACAGCATATTATGCCCATAGTTTGTGGTTGCCATGTCAACTAACCCTACCCATGTCACACATGCTACTTATATGTCCAACAAGGACTTTATAAACTTTACAATTGAAAAACTCTGAACAAGATTTAAAATGTAACATTGTCTGAAGAAATTCCTAAAATAAAAATAGACTAAATAGGATAAGATAAATTTGTGATTTGAAATAGTGTGACAAGTTTGAAAAAGGAGCACTTAAACAGAAGGGACGTGAAACATTTTCATGCCTGAAGTTGACAATAATAGTATGGACAGGGCAAAACATAACTAGAGAACATTCTTTTTATATTAAAAGCTCAAACCACTCAGGAAGAGATTGTGTGTATAATCGGGGGAAGCAGGGTGCATAATTGGGAGGGGATTTCGAGTTTATTATGATGCAAATACAAGTTACTTGTCTTGCGTTTGGGGCAGGACATTTAATTAGCATTTGTGTAGCATGGACCAAAACAGGTGGAATGCGAGGAATGCTCCCGGTGACACACGACACATGCAGAAATTTCATTTCACAACCAGTTTCAACTTGTTGCCGCCACACGGGAGCCAATCGAAGGCGCCTTTTTTTCTCTCCCTACGGTGAAAGGCAAGATTTGTTTCCCCTGTGTCCTAGCAACCAAAAACCACGCACAATGATTTCCAAAGCAGCGGGGGAAGCCGGAGAAAAGTAAAGCAGCAGGCCTAATCGCAGAGTCAAAAAACATTAAACATTCACAGACAAAATAATTCAGAGGGTGCTGTTGTTTTGGTCTCATTTCTGACCACATCAATGAAAGCTTGTTTCTGTAATAATATATTATGTCTATTGATACAGAAAGAGTTTAATAAAAACAACATTCTATGAGCTAATTGATCTAAACAGACAATAATGAACCATTTCCAAATCTGTTTGAGTTAAAGCTATACCCAATTTTTTTAAGGAGTTCATAAAAATGCTTATTACTACATACAAGTTGTATTATAATCCGTAATTAAGTTTAAAATTTGAGCTCATTGTTTCAGCTTGTGTATGAATTCAGGCCATAAAAAGTGCTCAGTAGAAACTTAGCGTGACGCCCGATCTCCTCCACTCACAGAACGAGGAGCGGCGCACATACGAAGAGGCCGTGTCCTCTAGCTTCTACAGCGCTGGTAAACACATAAGCATGTTAGCAGAATTGGCTATAACTCTTCTTGCAGTAACTGCATACACAGCAAAACAGCTCGAATGACACAACAGTGAGGAAGAGAAGAGGGAACTAAAGCAAAAAAATTATCAAAGAAGAAATCAAGCCCGGGTGAACATAGCTAGCTTACGTTGTATTGTACATCATCTGGAGAGACTTACAGTCTATGGGAGAGATCTGCGGGTGTGGACCGCCTCGGACTACATTCGAACGTGAAACTAGCTGTAATCTTTCAGTTATATATTTTGTTAGCAGTGCTAACAACAGCACAGAGCACAGGCTGCGGGGGAGGGGGGTAGTGGGGGGCAAAAGCTTGGTGGGTGCGGGGAGGGCGAGCAGAGAGAGCGAGGCCATCGCTCGCGTTTGAGAATGTCTCCAAATCAGTTAGTGCAGCTTTAATACATGGGCTGAGGTAGGTACTTTACTTTTCCTTCTGAAAAACCCGATCTTGAACCTATGTGGTGAAGGTGTAACAATCATGCACGAACTGATGTGCCCAAATGTTATGGAGGCTAGAAGGTTTAAAACTCAGGCACCTCAGCTTTACGCAAACAAAGATAAAGAAAAACTATATTGGTAAAATCTGTGGAAATGAAAGCATGTTACCATAAGTGAAAGATGATAAAAGCGTACATAATTGTATAGCATTTTTCAATACCAACCTTTTTTCAAAATCACAAAATTCACCAGTTTTCATATTCATTTATATTTGGCTTCTGCCACATCTTTAGATTAGCTTTTTCAGACAGACAAAAGAAAGCCTTTACAGTGTTTGTTGGGACAACCAAAATGTTTTTTTTATTAGAAAAAATCAGCTACCTAAAAAATATAGTATTGAAAGAAAATTTGGTGGAAAAAAGCAGCAGTCAATATCAGGGAGTCAGGTCTGTTACATATTGTTGTTTTTTTAAAACCAAACCATGGATAGACTTTTTTTCAATTCCACGTTGCCCATAACGCAACAAGTGGTGATCTATATCTGGAGCTGGTGGAGTAGCGAGTCCCTAGGGTAAAAGAGGGCCTCACTATGATGGAGGCTAAATACAGCATTAGCAAACAGATGCACACAGACACACACGACCAAAAGCTCTGGCAGGTCAGCACCATCAGACAGAGCCAGGACTATTGGCAGCTGTACGAGGCCAATAAACACCTTGCAAGGAGAGCCACTCATTACTAACTGCGGGCTTCTTGAAGTAGGCACTACAGAAGATTTGGTATAATTTTCAAAAGGTGGGAACTAAATCACTAATATGTAATTTAGTAATGAATTAAGCAATTATGAATTATGACTAATTGATTTTTAAAAGCACAGTTTCTGCTTCCTGAGTATCAGAGACTCTGATCAGGAGCTCACAGCCACTGTGCTGTTGCCTTGTCCTAAAAATGTCCTCCAAATCAAGTAAAAACATTGCTCAATCCCAGCACAGCCAGGATGATGGGTGGTTCAATGCAAATTTGGATCAATTATTATAGTGAGTATTCTTTTAATTAATCTAGCAAATATCCATTCAATTAATCTAGTGATTGTTTTGTTGAATAGTTGATCAAATGTTTAGAAAACAAACATGATATTTTATCTTTAAAAATGAGACATAAGCATGCAGCACATGCCTGTGTGGAAGTCTGTGTATAGAGCTGATTAATCAATTACCATAGTGCATTACTGACAAATCATTACAGCACAATTTCATACATTGGTTTTCAGACATTGTCTTACTTATAGATGTGCAAAAAAACTTCCTTCTGAGAATATAGATCTTGTAGCCAGTTTCAGCCCTGAAAAGAGAGGAGAAAATATGAGTAAAGAGTATAGTTTGATTAACGACAGTCACGTTTTAGCAGAATGATATTTCAATCCCCCCGGCCCTCCCCATCCCACTCCTTTTCCATAACTTGGGTGTATTTGTGTATGGAGTTGCCATGCAAACATAACAGTGTCAGGCTCAGGCTGGGGGGCAGGGCTGAGCCCATGGAAGTTCAGGGCACTTGCTACACTTGAGTCGGACAGAAAGGGAAAGTAAAAGGAGAAGCATTTTGCTGGTGACAGCATCATGCATTCATGGATACATCTCATGCAGAAACCTACTTTGTGAAAAACAGACCTGGAGTCGTTTTAATCTCCATCCAAGCTAATATAAAGTTCTTCTGGCACAAACACGCCCCCATCCCTTCTGTCTTTATGCTCCGTTTTTAACAACGAATCTTCAGACTATCACGTCATGGATAGAGCCATATAGGCTCTATCTCCATTTTAAATACCCTTTTGAACAATTATGATAAGTACAATGCTAATTGAGGTAATCAGAGTCCAGAGTTTGGAAGAAGCTCATAAAGGTTGTGTCACTTGTGTGATTTTGTAAAGATCCGAATCCTTGATTCTTCCTCTCCAAAAGGACACATTCTAAGCTCATGTTTAAGAAATAGGTGAAGTGTACACAATCAGTGCTGAATGTTTATGCTTTACAAGACAGAAATGGTTTTGCAGTGCATTCCGAGGGTCAATCCACATACATAGAGCAGTACTGTACATAACAAACTGGCCTGAAATATTCATGAAACAATAAAAGCCTTAAAAAAGCTATAACATTTATTATCTAATGAGTTAAAAAAAAAAAGCGTATTAGTATACTACATACAAGTTGTATCAAAATCCGTAATTCAATTGAAAACTTGAGCTCAATGATTCAGCCTGTGTGAAAAAAGAACTTGGCAAATATTCTTTCCAATATGAAGCTCCATACGACTGGAATCTCCTTCCGGCCTCTATTCGCTCCTTAACCTCTTTTCCTCTTTTTGAAGTTTCTGTATTCAGGCATCTATGTAAAGTCTGTAACTGCTTCTGAACTTTCTTTTAAACACTATATCCTTTGGTTTTCACTGTCCTAGTTTGAGTAGTACGGTGACCTCTGCATTCTGAGAGCTTTATGTGTGTGTGTGAGTGAATGTTCCTGTCTTTGTATTTGTTTTGTCTGTTATTTTATTGAAATTATTTACTGTAACTTGTTTTTTTTGTTTTTTTTACACTTTACTGTAACTGCATTTATTTTATCAACCGCTGCTGCTACTTGTGTTTCTATTTTTGAGGACCCTCTTGAAAACGAGATGATGCATCTCAAGAGGCTATTCCTCGTAATAAAGATATGTTTGTATGAATTCAGGACGTTTAAAGTGCCGAGTAGAGACACTCCTCCACTCACAGAACGAGGAGCGGCGCTGTTACGAACATGCTGCGTCCTCTAGCGTCTACAGCGCTGGTAAACACAGTAGCATGTTAGCAGAATTGGCTAAAACTCCTCTTGCTGTAACTGCATGCACAGCAAAACAGCCCAAACGATGCAACAGTGACTAAGAGAAGAGAGAACTAAAGCGAAAAAATTATGAAAGAAGAAATCAAGCCAGAGTGAATATACGTACTGTAGCATTAGCTTACATCGTATCCTCTGGAGAGACCTGCAGGAGCGGACATCATTTGGACGCGAAACTTTCGGTAATCTTTCAGTTATATATTTTGTTGGCAGCGCTTTGCTTTTGTACGATTTCATCAGTGATTGTTGTACAGATTACAAGACGTTGTGCTAATGCTAATGTTTGCATACGTATCAGATCACAAATAAAACTAGAGAGCTTCGTGGCAGGAGAGCGTTGGGGATATGAGAAGCCTGTGAGCAAGTTGGGGGACGGTGCTAAACATTCAAACTGAAAAAAACCTTGCAGAAACGGGTATAGCTCCTTTAACAAAACACTACAAATGTGCAAAGACTGTATTCCTTCATACATTATTGTATCTGACAGCTACTTATCACCAAAAACAATTTGATTCATGCACTGCAGAAATTGTGTCTTTATAAAGTTGATGACTGTAACAATCTGCTACAACTGCGACAAACAACTCATCACTGCCCATTTACAGCCACTGATAAATAAATCAATGTCAAATCAATCTATATATCAATGTTCAAATAAACTAAGCTTATCTCAATATTTATAAATAATACATGTCGATCACCCCAACAGAAAGAGTAAAATAAAAAACACAACATGCTATATTAGAACGGATGTGATATTTTGCATACTTGAGCCCTGTCAGTCACTATTTGATGTCTAAAGATATGACAGCAGTCAAAATAGATGCATGTGAAAACTAGTGAGAGGTAAACACAGTGAAAAAAATCCGCACAGCTATGTAGCTCCCAATCAGTGTTTTATTTACAGACCCTTCATCAGACAAAACTAGTGAGAGAACCAAACTGTTTTGAGAACAGACTAGTATACAGATTAAATTACAAAGGTTTTTTTTGCCTTGAAAATAAAGTAGCCTAGCTTTAATATGGGTCTATCTAGTATTATAATAACGTGTCTATTACTTACTTAACAATAGTAACAATGTTTTCAAGTTAGACAATCAAACATGGCTATCTCATGAAAATATAATTGTTTTGTTGTTGATATTACATTTTTGTAAAATCGTTAAATAATTCTAGGCTGAAGATATGCTGTTTTGGTTTGGTCACCAGCTTGTTTCCATGGAGATTGCCAAGTTGTCACACATTCCAGAAAATAACATCTCCATTTCAGACCCGCGCTTTAAATGAGTGTTATGTAGCTAGTTCGTCTTAACTTCAATAACTTCTGGAAATAAATTCACTGTTTCATTTCACTTCACGGGGAAATTAAATGAATGATGTAAATCTGCTCACCCACGTTGTTGAGAAAGTAGTAACCTAGATCCATTGCTAACTCTGGCAAGCTAGCAGCAAAGAGCTTCAACTGCTACTACTGTGGCTACTATTAAAACCGCTGTGGTAAACGCAATTTAACAGTTGAAGCCGTTCGAAAGACCCAAATATCTGCTGGAACACTGCTAACGTTGCGTAGTTAGCTGTTAGTTTTCCAATTGTGAAGCATAAGAATGAGCGTGTACTCCGAAAGCAACAAGTGTGAACTGTGAAGGGAAATACTAGACAAACGCCAAGCATTTTTTTTAAAGGTATTAATTTACTCAGTTTTATTGTTTTATATAACTTTTTATCAGTGTAGATTTGTATTGTAATTATTAATGTGTTTTTCAGGAGCCATTAGGGTAAAAGGAAAGTTACGGCTGCCCAACTCTCATAAAAAAATGAAGAGCCTCTTTCTTCTTACTTCTTGTTTTAAATGCACGTTTGTGACGTTCAAATGTAAATTCTGCATGTCATCGAAATTTCTCAACATTTCACTAAAAGAAAACCCGTGACATTACTCATTTGGAAAAGAACAAGAATAAGGAAGGAGGCATTGTTTCCTGAATTCGGATGCACTCTTTCGCGAGCGTAGAGTATAAAATTAGTAAGCCGCATTTACCCCACAAAATGAGCGAGCGTTAACTCTTGAGTTTTATAGTTGTAGAAATGTGTATTCACCTCAGTGTTGGTAAAAGTTGTGCGCAGATCTGCCCTTATTTTCGCTGACTTCCAGATGCTGCTGCTGCTGCTGCTGCTGCTGCTGCTGCTGCTGCTGCTGAGTGGTGTTGCACTGCGTTGGTAAGGAACTGTCTCCACGGCTACAGTCACTATGGCGCGGCCCCGGGTCTCGAGGCAACTGTTGCTACCCTGAAAGGCTGACGTCACTCTCGCCCGTACCCGTGTGTACCCTGCTCCCACCCCCGCGTGTTTAGAGGCGGGGCTTAAAATGGAGTAAGCAGCTGGAGACACGCCCAAGGCTTTGTAAAAAAAAAAAAAAAAAAAAAAACCTTCCATTAGGTGGTGCAATTTTTAAAAAGCAGTAACATAAATAAATTAACAGAGCAAACAAAAAACTGCCAAAACATACGGTGAAAATCATGTACTTAACTGCTCTTTATTTTCATTTTAAAATTCAATTTTAAGTTTAAACTTTTCATATAGGATTGAATAAGTATTATGGTTTAAAAATATTGTATTATTTATAGATAGATAGATAGATAGATAGATACTTTATTGATCCCCGTAGAAAAAAATCAGTAGCAGCAAAAACACATTCATCCACACAAACAAAACAAATGAATTGATAATTTTAAAAGCTAACAATAGTATTAAAAAAATGCAACAGCACTATTATTTAATTATTGTGTTTATTTCTTTTTTAAAATATCATGTGAATGTTGATAATAAAGTCTGATGGTCAAGATTCAGAATCAGAAAACTTTATTGATCCTAAAGGGCAATTTATTTGCTGCATAATCTCACAGCAGAACATACACAGTCTACACAAACACACAGTGAGTCAGGCCTCACAGTTCACATTGCACTAGGTTACAACATAAATTAAAAACAACAATGAACTACATAATTCCCGAAAGTCAAACACCGCTACCAGAGTTCAACAGTTTTATAGCAGAGGCCAGGGCACAAAATAATTGGAAAAAACGGTTTGTTTTTTGCACTGCAGCATAAAAGCCATGCCCTGAAGGCATCATTACAGGGTCAGCGATCAGCGAATTAATCAATAATGATTTGTTTTATATAATGAGTTAAAACCATGTGAAAGTATATATAAACATAGACTTGTTTACTAAAATTATGGATAGCTGCAGCCCAAGTTGGATCCAACTATGGACTCGATATAGAGGAGATGAATATTCGGCAGTGTCAAAATATGTGAGGTTCACCCACCTCCCGTTTTAAATGTTTTGTTTGAAAAATATTTTCGACTTTTTTGTTTACCCTGACCGTACCCTCACTAACATCATGACCATGTCATAGAGGAGTACAGTTCTTATTACTTTTTTTGTATTATTGTTATTATTTATCTTATGATATGATAGTATGATTATGTTCGATTATGCTCAGTTGGTATAGAGCATTGGCCTTTGAGTTTGAGCCCACGACAAGACCTACTTCACGACTCCCACTAATATCTGCTGTTGTTGTGTCTTTGGACACTTAACCCCACTTTGCCTGAAGCTCCCACTGAAAGATATCAGCTCCCCCACCCAGAAATGGATGAAGGGGAAGAAAATGGATGGATGGATGATTATGTTCATTAGTGTGAGATGTGCGTTGGATGTATTTACACCAATTGGACACTAGATGGTAGTAGATAACATGCAGTAAGCAGCAGACACACAAGCTCCCATTGCTTTTTGAGGTAACAGCACAATATTTTTTAAAATTGTATATAAAATATATATATTAAACAGGAGAACCTCATTGAGATTAACAATATATTTTTGAAGAATGTCTTGGACACCTTCTTTTCTTTTTTTCCTCCATATTGGTCCTGTGCCTGAGCTGTGGTGCATTAAAAAGACGAAAGACAGTGGTGGAAGGTATAGGTCAAGTTACGACTGTGGTATGAAAGGTGAAATGATAATGAAAGTAATATGAAGTGAAAAATTGGAAAAAGTGCTACCAAACAAAAGAATAAAACAAATGATAGTAATTGCAGTACATTGAAAACAATTCAAGTGCAGAGGGAGGCAACATGATAACATCACATTATTGTGAGTGTGTATACAAGTACAGATCAATAGTTTGGACACACTTTCTCATTCAATTGGTTTCTTTTCTTTTCATGACTACTGACTGTAGATTCACACCAAGGCTGTGCAAGGGCTATTTGACCAATAAGGAGAGTGATGGGGTGCTGGGCCAGATGAGCTGGCCTCCACAGTCACCGGACCAGAACCCAATCCAGATGGTTTTGGGGTGAGCTGGACCACAGAGTGAAGGCAAAAGGGCCAACAAGTGCTAAAGCATCTCTGGGATCTCCTTCAAGACTGTTGGAAGACCATTTCAATCACTACCTCTTGAAGCTCATCAAGAGAATGCCAAGAGTGTGCGAAGCAGTAATCAGAGCAAAAGGTGCTACTTTGAAGAACCTAGAATATAAGACATATTTTATGTTGTTTTATGGTTTTTTTAGTATTTACATAATTCCACATAAGTTAATTCATAGTTTTGATGCCCTAAGTGTGAATCTACAATTTTCATAATCATGAAATCTTTGAATGAGAAGAAGGTGTGTCAAAATTTATATTTCTCCTATGCGAGATAAATAAAGCACATCTTATCTTATGCTAAAATGAAGTGTATCTAAATAAAATGAATATAAACGTACTGCCCTTTTAGCTAGTGTTACCTTGAAATGATATCTCTGCAAATGTAAACATGGATGTATGATGTATTAAATGCATAAGCCATCTTAAATAATAAATCCCACACATGAACTTAGAAATGTACTGAATATTTCAGTCTGTGCCTCAAAGCAACAATATCTTCAACATAACCTGCTAACTTGCAGGCAAAGGATGTCCAGAGCCCATTCCAGACAGCAATACATACATGGCAACAACTGCACATGTGCAGTTTAAAACTCATAATTACGAGTTTAAAACTCAAAATTACAACTTTTGAAAGTCATAATCATGACTTTTAAACTCGTAATTTTGAGTTTAAAACTCAAAATTACAACTTTTGAAAGTCATAATCATGACTTTTAAACTCGTAATTTTGAGTTTAAAACTCAAAATTACAACTTTTGAAAGTTATAATCATGACTTTTAAACTCGTAATTTTGAGTTTAAAACTCAAAATTATGACTTCCTGTGGCTTTTTTTTTTACATGGCAGAAATGGGTTTCCATACCATTGTGATTGGCCCGTGTGTGATTACGATTTGGGTGGAAGCATGGAACATGGACGGGGCACTTCATAGCAGTAGCGGCGCCAGGTTTACAATAGGAGGATCTTTGATAAAGTGGTTGCCCTTTTATGCTGTTACCTACAGTAAACGTAGAACGGGAAGCCGGGGGGATGAGGGGATAAAAATTCCTAAACAAATTTAAGTTTTGCAACTACTTTCACTGCACACTTGGTCACTGATGATTAATTTTAAACATTGCATTTTGGTTGCTCATCCCTACGGCTTCCTGTTCCACATTTACCCTACTGTAAGTACCAGCAAAAAGAAGCAATGCGCTTTTAATGTACAGACCACTTTTCCGCGACGGCGAAAAGCCGGGCCACTTTACCGAAGTTAAAAACGCGAGAATTAGATTTTCACCACAGACCCTTCTTGCGTGAAGGGTCCCGGGTTTTCTATGAAGTAAGAATGAATGTCTCCCAGCAGATCGGTGCCAAGACAGAGGTGAGTCTGACAAATGTTTGTCGTCATCCCAGGTCTCATATGGGCATTGGATTTGTTCAGGTCGGTCTCATACACTTATTTTTAGCTTGTCTTTATGTCCCCTCTGATCTTATTGCAATAAAGTGCTTATATACAGTGCTTTTCGGCCACTGAGTCTTTTAAAAGTACTCGTCGTATCCATGCTTCTGTATGGGCCGCTCTGTCTTTTTGCCACCCAGCGAGGGGAGCATGCGCACGCGGGTGTAAACCTAGATCCTCCTATTATGGGAAGGCCAGCAGATTAGTAAATAGGCCTAATTCGCCCGTAAACTATAAGGGGTATTTGGAGTGGGGGTTCAAAAAATATGGTTCAAACGCAGCACCACAGATTTAGTGTCGCCGACCCTCGTCCTGAAGGAGAAGACTAAATAATGCACATAGCTTAGTTTATTTGAATATTACAATATCAACGGCATGGACAAGTAACAGAATATATTTACAAGAGCAGGTGGCACGACCTTTGATTGAAGACTGCGAGTATTTCCTTTTAATCTATACTCTCCGTTAATTCTCTTTCAAAAGACAAAAGGGACAAAGTCTTTCTGTCAACATCGTCGCCCTGGTGCTTGTCTTTTTTCTGTTGAAGGTGGAAAAGAGTCTCTCCACCGTACACGTGGTCATTTGCAAAGTGAGCAGCGCTCGCAGGAGTCTGGCGCACACGGATATCACTATTTCTGAGTGGCTAGTCACTATTTATGAATGGATATTGACTTTTACCACACAAGAACCACACAAGAACGATAGTTGCTATTTCTGAGTGGCTAATCAAAAGTGGCCAAAAGTGCGTCTCAAAAGTGGCCAAAAGTTACCTGGCAGGTAATTAAGCAGGTAATTACTGCTTAATTACCTGCCATGTTTCGTCGGGAGACTTCTGCCCTCGTCATTATGGCGTCCGTTTTATCAGCTGTTGTTACTGGATGCCGCCAAACAGAATGGACAGATCCGTAGCCTGGCCATGCCGCTCGCCGCTATGTGGGAGTCCCAAGTGTGAGCCAAGGTGTGCGCCGCACTTCCTAATTGCGCCTCTCGTATCCATCTTTTGTATTTATGTTCTTCTGTTCCTTCTATTGTAGGGCGACAGTAGCTCAGTTAGTAGAGCATTGGCCTTTGGGCCTGAAGGTCGTGGATTCGAGCCCACCGTAAGACCTACTTCATGACTCCCACTGATGACTGCTGTCGTTGTGTCCTTGGGCAAGACACCCTACTTTGCCCAAAGCCCCAACTGAAAGATCTCAGCTCCTGTGGACTCACCCCCTGCAGGAGGATCAGTGAGGGGCTGGTGCTCTGTGTACTGGGTGCAGCTCTGACTGCCACCCCCCCGACCCAGAAATGGATTAAGGGGAAGAAAATGGATGGATGTTCCTTCTATTTTTGCATTGCCAAAGTCCATTATGTGAGTTTCTCTTTTACAGTGGTCTGATATTGCTGATTTGAGGGTTTCCTGTATATCTTTTTCCTTGGTTAATTTTGTGATCGCACTGCTGTTTATTTTTTGCATTCCTTATGATGTTATATGTGAAACCAATATATGAAACAGACTCATAACATGCAGAGTGACATATGCCTATCTTTTGTTTGTTATAATATTGGTGATAATGGCTTACAGTCCATTTTCACAATAATCCAATTTTGTATGATTTGGGGTTTTACTGCGAGATACTTATGGAGGTTTTAACAAATAAAGTCTTGATATATCTGACTTTGCTTGTAATGAGTCTGTCAGATATTAGTTTCACATTGTAAGTTGTATTGCAGAGGTACAGTAAATGGGCTGTCCCACCTCTTCCTTATTTGCCTTTTGCAGTAAAACTACATGGGGATAACTGGTTATATTTATCCATAATGTCATTCTTAAATATTGTAGGGTAACTACTTATATTGCTGATTATAATTACTTATTAGTATAAATTTGGTAGTGTGGGTCTGCTTTATATTTATTTTGGCACCAGCAATGTGTGGGACACATTGCACAGACCAAACCAAATCTTTGCCTCGATATCAATCTTAGTCTAAAGGTAGAGAATACGTTTTATCGGCCAGGGATAGTCCGAGATCTAACAACACGACTCTGATAGGATTGGATTAAAGAAAAGGGGTTTATTGATTACAAAGTGGGATAAAACATAACGAAAAGGGATTTCTGGTCACATTTGAGTAGGAGCTGTACACATTTCATTCAAATTGAACATTTAACATGGAGCAGTCTTACTTTGAAGCCGTTCAGAGGGAGATGGGTGGTTAAGATGAGGATGGAGGAATGAAGAAGGGATGAGAGTGAAGAATAGGATGGAGGCGATGTCTCGTCCACGTGGTCTTTGTTCGAACAGGGAGCAGGAGGAAGCCGGCAGGTCGGGTCCAGGCGTGGGTTCCACACACGACACGGTCTAGAATAGCGTTGTGGTGGGGTGGTCCAAGGAGCCCGAAAGTGGCGATAGAAGGTCCTCGTCTCCGACAGCGAGAGTGGTTGCTGTCCTCGTGGATGTACAGGCCCGAGATGGTGGCGGGCGTAGGCCGTGTAGGGGACACGTACCAAACGGGATAGTTGTTATGATGAATTCGGGGGAAACAAGAGCAAGTACAATGGCTTGTGGGTGCTTATATTGACTTCCCCAGGGGAGGCGTGTCCATGCCTCCCCTCTCTGTGGACAGACCCCTTCACAACAGACATTTTGCAAAGGAAACACATCGGATTGATGCAAATGATCATAACACATGTACAAACACACACCGTATTTCATTACTTTGACATCGATACACACATGTGAGGTCCGTAACGGTTATCAATCATAATATCATCGAATAATGTCCTTTGAGTGTCCGCCTTGGGTGTAATGGCGTCCAGTACCCACTGGGGGGCGCCAGAGGGCCGCGGGTGGACCCCTTGGTCCGTGGAGTGCATTGTGACAATGCTGATTCGTATCAGATTCTCTGTTGACATGAAAAAGGCCCCAGATGGGTATCCCGCTGTTTTATGGGTCCGTCTGGCGTTTGAATCCTCATGATGGATATCTGCTCCTGTGGTTGAACCCCATGGTTCCTTTGAAGTTGTATCTCTCCATTTGGTCAATGGTAAACAGAGCGGACGGCTCGGCCCTGCCCTCAGTTTAACCTTACATACCCCCCCCACGGCAGAGATGCACCTTCCGACAAGGTGCATGTCATGTCGGATATGCTGTGGGGTTGTCCTCAGTCGGTCGTCTCGCCTGTTCGGGTGTTAGTGTACAATTTGTGGTGACATGTTACAACATTCCCGTCTCAATGTGACTCAGTAGCTAGCAAGCGCCTAACTGGGTCTTGCTCGTTCTAAAAGGGGAGTGTAAGGGTTACACGAATATATGACGTAGCAAGTGGGGCTTTAATTACAAGGGACATTTCCTGTATATAAACGGGGATGACAGGTATGATTGTCTAAGAGACTGATTAGGTATCGAGGTAGTTTGGTTGGGTCTGAGCTGGTGACTCTTAGTGGGGTTTTAGGCCCTTGGTTCACCTTCCGTGATAGAAAGAGTGACCGTCTCGAGTGGGTGACTTTGGAGGTCCTCGTACTCTGACTCGTTGACCTGGGGACGCCGACTTAAATTGCCACGCTCGACGGCGCTGTCGCCCCGGTTTGGTCGTTTACGGATCTGTCTCGTCATTGCCTCCGCGCATCTGTTAAAGCTATCGCGGAGTCGCCTAACCCGTCTATTTAGGACGAAGACCGTGGCTATGGCCAGGCCGTACCCGATTCCTACCGCGATGGCTACGACTGTATCGGGGGCAGACCAGGAGTAGGCCACTGGTTGGTGGTGGATGGTCGGTCGCTTGGCAATCTCTTGAAGGAGGTTGTCTACGACCGCAACGTCCACGGTTTGTGCCCCCTCGTAGGTGGCTTGGACTAGGGTGGAGGGTTGGAGTTCCAGAGCCCTTTTCTCGAAGAACTCTGGTACCTCGATCTCTGCCTCGTACTGGTTTGGGTACAGGTGGTATAGTGCCAGGTCGCCTATGTGCAGGATAGCGTCGGTTGGGACGTTGACCCAGAAGGTTTCGTCCGGGAGACTTACCCGGGACGAGGTGTCATGTTTGTCATAGGTCAGGGTCGCCGTTCTAAGGGGAGTGTTCACTAGCCATCGTGCCCCTACAATCTCTGCTCTGGTTTCGGTTATTTGCTTCCGAGAGGTGACCGTCGCGGGGCATCGACTCCCTGGAGTCATGGGCCTCAGGCCGCAGATGCCATCTGTACTGTCCCTGACGAAAGGTTTGCTGGGGCAGAGGTAATGGATGTCCTTAGTGAGAGTGCACATCCTTAGATTTGGCGTTAGGTACAAATTGGGGTTGCTGTCGTGGTAGGCTACTATGTCTGGCGTGTGGACTCTGACGTGGGCATTGTCCCTCCAGGTCCCTAGGTTAGTGATCCCTTTCAGTCGGTAGATTTTGTCGCCGGGAACTATCGGTAAGGTGACTAGGAAGGCTACCTCGCGGTCTAGAGGATTAACATAGATGGGGACTGCAGCGCCCAGCGTGTACGCTAAGTGGGCTTGCATGGGTGTTACAGCGTCCCGTGTGGCTACGGTTAGGATGTCCTCAACTAGCGATAGCGGCACGAGGTATGGCGGGATACGGCCCATGGCTAGGTTTTCGATGGAGGAGCTGAGGTGACGTAACATGTCCTCCATCAGCTGTGTGGTCAGCAGAGTATGGGCGTAGTCTAGTTGGAGGACGTCTAAGAGTTGGTTGACCGCAGCGGAGGTACGTTTAATCGCAACCTCGTGCGTGTTAAGTACTAGCATGGTTCCTTTCAGGGATTTTCCCAAGGTTACCACGTCGTTCTGTTGTTGGTCAAGTCTGGTTTTGACATCCTCGAGCTCAGAGGCCATTTCCTGTTGGTGGCGTCTGAGGGAGGATAGGCTGATGGCGTTTACCGTGGACATCCCTAAGCTAAAGAGGGTGCCCAGGGCGGACGCCGCGCCGAGGAGAGCCCCAATAAATCGTTTGGGTCTGGGGCGAGGGTCGCTGAGCTCTGTCCTAGTGATCGTGAACTTCTCTAGTTGCGTCAGCATGTGTTGTATGTCTGCCTCAGCGTGCTCCACGACCGTCTGGGTCCAGCGTGCACCTGCCCAATCTTTGAGTGTGACCTTCAAGGGCAGGTTCTTGCGGCAGACTTCACTAGGATTGAGTCTGACAAAGATTCGCTGTGTGTGGAGTCGGACGTCCGTGATGAGGAGCCCGGGTTGTTCTTTTAAAACGATCCCGGAGGCTTGTCCGGTCTCAATAATTTCTGGGGTGCCGAGGCCCAGTATGCCGGTCAGCACGAGAAGGAAAGTGGGCCACATGTTCTGCAAGGCGTGAAACAACTGTTAGGGGTTAGACAGAGACAGAGAAAGAGAGAGTCGATTAGTGCAGCCGAGAAGAGTGTTAGTGAGTGCTGGGCTAATCGTGTTTGAGGTCACGTGGTGTGTTCCTAACTGGAGTTTGAAGTGTGCCCTGCTTGTCCCATGGGGCTTTGTTTGTGTGGTTTGGTTTGGCTGTAACGGGCCCATCTGAGGGTGGGCTCTCTACCTTTTGTGACCTCGATTTGGTGCACTGCGGTTGAGAGTTTGTTTCCCACCCTGTATGGTCTTGACCAGCGGGGTCGCGGTTTCCGGCGTAGTCTGGTGGGGCCGGTTCCCACGTGTCCTGGGGAATGTGCCAAGGTGTAATACCATACCTGGTTTTTGACCTGGAGGTGGTCCTGCGGGTCGGTCCTGTATTGGTTTGTCCTCAGGAGCCGGGGGAGTTTCACGTTCTCGTCACTCCGGTTTGGGGATACGTACCTTAGTATTTCGGTCTCCGTCCGGTCCGTCCTTTCTACCTGTTGTAGTGCCTGACGTGTGTTGTTTATACCTGTTTGTTTCGCGGTAGGTGCGTCATGGGCGTGTGCCAACATTACCCCCCTCATGCTTCGAGGCACCACGAGTACCGACGAAGTGAGTGTATCGGAAGCAGAATCTAACAGCCCATGGCGTATCGGCAGTATTCCTTCATCACGGCCGGAGGTTCCGAGCGTCGTGTCGATCATGACGTCGAAGGGGCGTTCTAGTGTGGGGTTCGCATGTCGGAGGGAGGCTAAGTCCGACCTGTCGAGGTCGGGGGCCGTGCGCGTGGCGTTCGCGCAGGTTGTGGGCGTCCCCTGATCGGTTTGTGCTGCGGCGGGTTGTGGGCCGTTCGCGGGCGGCGCGTTTACGGAGTAGCGGTGGTTTTCGCCCAACGGGCGCGGAATGGGCAAGGGCTCCCGGACCTGTGTCCAGATCTTTAGATGTTGGTAGTCTATTAGGGGCTTAAATCGATTTAGAAGGTCCTGGCCCAATAGGAGCGGATGCGTGTTGAATGGGGAGATGTAGACCGGGTGGACCAGTGTCATGGGGCCCACGGTCAGTCGCATTAGGGCCATTTTACGTATGACTTTGACTGCCATGGCTGCCGTGAGGGTCCCGGAGGCGCCGTAGTCTGAGTATTCTGCTAGGATGGCTTTGCAGAGCTCGTTGTAGTCATGTTTTATAGCCCTTGGTTGCCTTTCGATGAAGTCATTCACCTCTCCGTTGGACGTGAGTCTAATCAAGTATATTTTGTCATCTTGAGACGCGTGTGGTATGCGGTCGGCGTGGAAGTCGACGACGCGGAGGTATGATCGGGTGTTTGTAGGCATGCCGGGCCGGGGGTCAAAGCGGGTTATGTGTCTAGCTATGCGGTCGAAGTCGCGGTCGGATGGTCCGAGCGGGTCTCGACCCATCGGGGGCGCGTAACGGGCGTCGCGTCCTCTATAGTCCGGGTAGTACCGTTGTCCCGGGGTCAAGTCCTGGCGTGCGTCCGGGGGGGTGCTGTGGGGTTGTCCTCCATGATTGGGGAGGTCCCCGGCGTTCCCATGGCGGGTCACTGGTCGTTGTGCCGCAGCATATGCGGGCGGCCCAGGCTCAGGGTACCGTATGTCGTGTGGTCCATGTAGCATGTACTGATGTGGGCCAGGGGGGTCGTTGTAGGGTTGTCCGCCATGTTCAGGGCGGGCCCTTTCGTCCCAATGGCGGTAGTCTGAAACATGTCTCGTATGGACGTCAGGTGGGTCAGAGTCATGGGTCGGGTAGTCATGTTGGCTGCGTCGCATGTCCATGTGTGTTCCCGGGGGGGCGACGTGGGAGTCCCGTCCCTGGTTGAGGTGGTCTCCACCGTCCCAATGGCGGGCTGTTGGCCGTTGTTCGCCGCGGTCCATGGTCAGTCCGTGTGTATGGGTCTGGTGGCCATGCGTTTCGTGTTTAACGTGCCGGTGTGCTGCGGCGGGTCCGGCCGGGGGTTGTCTCTCATAGGCGGAGGGGTCCCCGGGGACCCGTGAGCGGTCTGTCACGTGGTACGTTGCCTGGCTCGTCGGTGGGTCGAGTCTGGGGTCAAAGTGGTCGATGTGTCTAATGTAGTGTTGAGGGTTGGCTGTAGTTGCGGGCGGTCCCGCTGTATGGTTGGGGTCGCGCGCAACGTGGTCGAGTCCGTCGTCGACGGACCGCTGGGGCCTGTTCCGATTGTTGCTGTTGGGTTGTATATCGTGCCTTTGACCTTGATTCTGGTCCTTTCCTGTGATGATACTTACCAGTTCGGCCACGCTCCTGCGTTCACTCTCGGACGATGGTCCGCCGCGGTCGGAGTGAGGGGAGTGTGGGTCGGAGGCACAGTATCGGCCGGCTTCGTTTGAAGTAGCGGCCCCGATTCTCGCTGCGCGATCTAGATCCATGGTCGCGTTTGGGATCGTGTTCAGTCCCGGTTGGTGGTTCCTACTTACCTGTTGGATTGGTTCCAAGCGGCTCGCGGCGGACCTCTTAGCTTCCGCTAGTTGCCGTTCCAGTTCACCTACCGTGTCTTGAAGCCTTTGGTTCTGGGCTTCGGAGTCGCGTAAGGTTATTCTGGAGACCGTGGCTAGCTGTCCCAGCCACTGGGTCAGGGTCTTACCTTCAAGTTTCTTCGTAATAGCCTCGGATGCCAATGTGGAGGTGGCATCTAGTAAGTCAGAGGGTGAGCCGTGCTCAAGCATGTCGTAGGATCCTGGGGATAACTTCTCTGTGAAGTCGCGCAGAAAGTTATCCACTACGTCGTGTTCCCCCATGACACTGTTGTGCTCGCTCGGTCGTGGCGAGTTTCCGCCATCGGTTTCCATATTTGTGTGGGTGAGTGTATGCGAGTATGATTTGGAGCGTGTGTGCATGACACAGTGGGAGGATGAAAGGAGGAAAGCAGTGCTATAGAGCGGGTAGTACAGCTGTAGTTCGTGCGGTGGTGCGAACCTTGGTGTGTGTCAAAGCCGTGACTACAGCGTCCTCTCCGTGTGGCGGTGTATGCGAGTGGGCGGCCTAGGTGAGGGGCCGGGCGTTAGTGCGTCTTCACCTGTGTGTCAGCGGAGAGCGTTGGGGTTAGTGGCGTTGGCGCACGTAGGGTTAGCAGTGGCGCCGGCGGCAGCAGCAGTATTAGGGCGCGGCGTTAATCGCAGCGGTAGACGCGGCGTGAGAGACGCCGCGTGAGGGGCGCGGCGTAAGAGACGCAGCGTGAGACGCGGCGTAAGACGCAGCGTGAGGGGCGCGGCCTAAGGGACGCAGCGTTAGACGCACCTGCGTGGGAGACGCGCCTGCGTTTGGGACGCACTTGCGGCGAGACGCACCTGCGGCGAGACGCACCTGCGTATGGGACGCACTTGCGTATGGGGCGCACTTGCGTATGGGACGCACTTGCGTATGGGACGCACTTGCGTATGGGACGCACTTGCGTATGGGACGCACTTGCGTATGTGTCGCACTTGCGTATGTGTCGCACTTGCGTATGTGTCGCACTTGCGTATGTGTCGCACTTGCGTTTGGTGTCGCACTTGCGTTTGGTGTCGCACTTGCGTTTGGTGTCGCACTTGCGTTTGGTGTCGCACTTGCGTTTGGTGTCGCACTTGCGTTTGGTGTCGCACTTGCGTTTTTGGTACGCACTTGCGCGTTTCGTATGCACTTGCGCGTTTCGGACGCACTTGCGCGTTTCGTACGCACTTGCGTTTGGTACGCACTTGCGTTTGGTACGCACTTGCGTTTGGTACGCACTTGCGTTTGGTACGCACTTGCGTTTGGTACGCACTTGCGTTTGGTACGCACTTGCGTTTTGGGCCGCGGCGTAGCTTTAGACGCAGCTCAAGTAAGCAGTAGCAAAAAGGCAGCAGGCTGAGGCATACCGCTAGCATGTAGCTTGCCGGCAACGGGACATTTTGGCAGCAGTTTAGGCAATAAACAATGAGTTTTGGTGACCGAATGCAGTTCGGTTAAACAGAGTGGCACTAGTTTTAACGGTAGAGAAGCAGCTTATAGTGGGAGCAGTAGTAGGAGCAACGGCGTTGTCAGAGTTAGCTTTGAGGCTAGCGGGGCCCGGGCGGAAGTTAGCCTTATGCTAGAACAAAGGAGGGTAGCTAGCCATTAGCTTTCGAGCGTGGCACGTTTTAGCAGTAGTTTATACACGAAAGTCTGGAGCGAGTTATACAGTTCGCACAAGCACGTAATCACAGTGGTGGGGTGGTGTTTGTCCGTATTGTGCAGTACAGTCTTGGTGTGTGTATGTCCAACAGCAGAGTAGCAGGAGAAAGTGGTGAGACAGAGTTAGCGTTAGCCACCTTTAGCAGAATAGCATCACATTCACACAGCTGCCATTTACAGCCTTTTACACAGATATACTCGGTTAAAATCCTGTGTGACTTGGGTCACCAAGGGACACAGAGTAGATCCGTACGCCCGTGTTCTGGACACGGTGTACAGTGGAGTTATAAGAATAAGATTTTGCGCTTTCTCTTAAGAGTTTAAGCGGCTTCACATTCCACGCTGCCCGCTGGCCAAGCGGGGCGACACGTTGTAGGAGATGTGTAGTACCTGTGCAAAAGCCAGGATTTTGAGACTAAATTAATAGTCTGGTGCATGCACGAGACGCTTTTATCGCAAGCGTGGGGCGTAGGGGAGCTCAAATTGTTTTCAAATTCACCATAGCAACGGGGCAGGGGAGCAGAGGGGGTGCGGGAGTGGGGGGAAACGCTTTGAGCGTAGCAGCAGTAGGGTTAGCGTGTATTAACCGGTCAATTCACAGAGTACGAGTTGATAAATCAGGTTATATACGCGGATCTCACAAACAGGGTACCATTATGTAGGGTAACTACTTATATTGCTGATTATAATTACTTATTAGTATAAATTTGGTAGTGTGGGTCTGCTTTATATTTATTTTGGCACCAGCAATGTGTGGGACACATTGCACAGACCAAACCAAATCTTTGCCTCGATATCAATCTTAGTCTAAAGGTAGAGAATACGTTTTATCGGCCAGGGATAGTCCGAGATCTAACAACACGACTCTGATAGGATTGGGTTAAAGAAAAGGGGTTTATTGATTACAAAGTGGGATAAAACATAACAAAAAGGGATTTCTGGTCACATTTGAGTAGGAGCTGTACACATTTCATTCAAATTGAACATTTAACATGGAGCAGTCTTACTTTGAAGCCGTTCAGAGGGAGATGGGTGGTTAAGATGAGGATGGAGGAATGAAGAAAGGATGAGAGTGAAGAATAGGATGGAGGCGATGTCTCGTCCACGTGGTCTTTGTTCGAACAGGGAGCAGGAGGAAGCCGGCAGGTCGGGTCCAGGCGTGGGTTCCACACACGACACGGTCTAGAATAGCGTTGTGGTGGGGTGGTCCAAGGAGCCCGAAAGTGGCGATAGAAGGTCCTCGTCTCCGACAGCGAGAGTGGTTGCTGTCCTCGTGGATGTACAGGCCCGAGATGGTGGCGGGCGTAGGCCGTGTAGGGGACACGTACCAAACGGGATAGTTGTTATGATGAATTCGGGGGAAACAAGAGCAAGTACAATGGCTTGTGGGTGCTTATATTGACTTCCCCAGGGGAGGCGTGTCCATGCCTCCCCTCTCTGTGGACAGACCCCTTCACAACAGACATTTTGCAAAGGAAACACATCGGATTGATGCAAATGATCATAACACATGTACAAACACACACCGTATTTCATTACTTTGACATCGATACACACATGTGAGGTCCGTAACGGTTATCAATCATAATATCATCGAATAATGTCCTTTGAGTGTCCGCCTTGGGTGTGATGGCGTCCAGTACCCACTGGGGGGCGCCAGAGGGCCGCGGGTGGACCCCTTGGTCCGTGGAGTGCATTGTGACAATGCTGATTCGTATCAGATTCTCTGTTGACATGAAAAAGGCCCCAGATGGGTATCCCGCTGTTTTATGGGTCCGTCTGGCGTTTGAATCCTCATGATGGATATCTGCTCCTGTGGTTGAACCCCATGGTTCCTTTGAAGTTGTATCTCTCCATTTGGTCAATGGTAAACAGAGCGGACGGCTCGGCCCTGCCCTCAGTTTAACCTTACAATATGTACATAATTAAATTAACTTTTTTTTTAACTCATTGCCTGCCAGCCTATTTCAGAACAGGTACTCCCATATTGTCATCAGTTTCTGATGATTCTTATTGATTTTTCAAGACCAACATAATATTGTGTACTATGACTATCTGAAATCCGAAACCAGATTCTGTAAGAATAGACTGTCTACTTTCATCAGCAAAAATATTTGTTTTCAAGCTTGTTTCATTCCACTGTAATCCCCAGTCGAGTAGAGGGAAGTTTTACTGAAATCACCAGTCTCAGACAAAAAGCTGGGAAAAAGAGGTGCAACAAGTGCATCCTGTTTTCAAAACATCCAGTGGCAGCGCTGGTGCCACCTGCTGGCTCGATAAGATATGCTCTAAAGCTAATCCCCATACATAAAAGATATAATAGACATCTGGGAACATGAAAATTGTGAAAAACGCATTTGACGTTTTAAGACGTCAATGGCACACAACCTTACTATTTGCAATGGCAGACAATGAGTTAATCATAGTTGTTCTTTTAAAGCATCACTGTCACAAATTGACTACACAAAATACAATCTATTGCTTTTCATATTTTTGCTTTGTTCAACTGACCAACGCTTAAAGGAGCAATATGTAATATTTGCATGTCAAGTCATCATTAAATGACCCGAATATTTCAAAAGGCATTAATAAATCATGTTCTTTTCAAACACATCTTTAACTGATAACAGTAGTTCGTCCGAGATTTTTGAATATCAAAATTAGTTTTACGACCCGTAAAAGTTGTTATTGTTTTGATTTTGATGTCCTACCCTCCGCGACAGTAGCTCAGTTGGTAGAGCATTAGCCTTAAGGCCAAAAGGTCGTGGGTTCAATTCCCACCTCTGCACCTTCTCCATCGACTCCCACTGATGACTGCTGTCCGCCTGTGGACTCACCACCTGCAGAGGGTCAGTGAGGGGCTGGTGCTATGAGACTTGGGTGGCATCTCTGACTGCCACCCCCCTGACCCAGAAATGGATTATAGCTGCACTAACTGACTTTGGGATTTTGAAGCCGCGGACTCGCTGGCCTCTCTCTTTCTGCTCCCCTCCCCGCACCCACGAAGCTATCGCCCCCCACACACACTCACTGTTGGGACGGAGCTAGTGTCTCCCAATATGGATAATACATGAATATGGATTTGCACGTGGATGGCGTGACCATAAAACGATAGAACCGGGAAGCGCGGAGGAATGGGACTTTCTTTTGGATGGCTGTCTCGCTAAGTAAGCAGTAACCGGTGATGAAGACACGAAGCTTCAGGTTAGCTCCTCGGCTTGTTGTGCTAACTCAGCCGTCTATGCTAACGGACCTGTAGATTTCTCACGAAAGTGGGGGCCAGTGGTCCGCTGTGATTGGTCACAATCTGCGACCCGAAACACATTCTCTTCTTTGTTTCATCAAAACTCGATCTAAAATATAATGTCACGCCAGCACAAATCTGCGCTAATTATTCTTCAAAAGGACGTATATCCCAATGCACTACATGGACATGGATAGCATTTTCGTAATGAATACGAAAATAAAGTCAGTTAGTGCAGCTTTAAAGGGTAGAAAATGGATGGATGGATGGATGGATGGATGGACCCTCCGCCGTTTCGCCAATCAGGAAGTGTCATGTAAGTCCGTGATCGGGTTGCCAGAACTCCGTGCGGCTCACTAATCTCAGAGGTAAAATAACATGTGGCGCAGAACTAAAAAAGGTCTTGTTATGACTCTCAAATCATTAATGACAAAACAAAGAATAAAACGAGGATTTATATCGGGACGCCTTTGAACAATTGAGACAGCTGATAAAAGTTTACGTGTGATGCAGAATTTGCTAGTTTGAGTCCGTTCTTCACAGTGACTCTAACTGTGTGAATCGGTGGCCTACTGGTCTAAGCTGTGCGCTTACGATGCAGGAACCCGGCTTCGATTCCGGGCTATGTCTTTTTGTATTTATTGCATGTTATCACATTCTATGACAGATTGCTCTAAAAACGGTAAAAGACGAAGGTCAAGACGTTTTTTTGCAGATTATGGCTTAATTGTAAAAATAATCATTTAAGACCACATGTACCCCAATTAAAATAATGTTAGTCTCTTTTTGATGTGGGACTTTTACATGTTTGTCTAAAAAATAGGGAATAAATAAAATTGAAAGGTGATATCCTCTTGAGCAAACCCTGATGTTGATACGCTGAAGAAATACGTTCCAACATCCATTCTTCTCACTCCTATTTTGGACATCAATTGCTTATGTATTTTGCATAAACTATGTATAATTACATTGCTTTTATTTTGTTTTTGTTTTTTATCTCAAATGTCCAAATAATAATAAAAAAAAACATGAATCAAAACATTCATTCAGCATTAGCACGGCTGTCATGGCAATGTGAATGGAGACGGACAAACAACTGATAAAATAATTCCCTGTGTTTGCTGCTGGATTTGGTGTGAATCTGGCAACCTGAGTCAGGGAGAGTGGGAGAGGACTACAAAATATTGACTGCAGTACCACTTTTGGCCAGATTTTTACATATTGTTCCTTTAACCCGTCCTGGTTTCACAGCTGCTGCTGCCCCTCCCCACATACAAGTTACTATGAGGCCGCTCATCCCACATCTGACCGTTTCCGTCACCAAGCCAAATCAACATATTTTGCCATGTAGCTCCATATCAAGTCTTGGGCCTTGGACATCTAGCCTGGCTCTCGCCAGACTTTTGTAGTTCTGCCATGCTACACCAGAGGCGTCTCGCGAGAAGTGCAGCGATCTACACAGGTCTGGCAAGAGTCAGGCTATTGGACATCTGCATCGTTTTAATTGCATCGTGTCATGTTTGACTTCTTGATAAAATGAGTATGTAATTTCTCACTTCTACCACAAGATGGGGGTGGGTCACTCCAGATTGTCACTTTAATGATTATACAAGTTAACCAATGTGTTTTATTCTGAAGAATTTATTTTACATTCTGAACAATAAAAGTCAATATCAAATTGAAAGCGCAAAATGAGCACACATTTAGATAGATGGATGGATACTTTATTGATCCGCGCAGGAGAAATTCAGGTGTCCAGTAGCAGCAAAAACACATTCATCCACACAAACAAAACAAATAAATTGATCTTTCTAAAAAAGCCAACAATAGTAATAGTAATAGCAAGTCAAGTAGCTCTGAAACAGTTGTTGTTTTGTGATTTCCAATTTTTATTTTCATTGCTTTTTTCTATGGGGGTATCAATAAAATATCTATCTTAAGCAAATCAACGTCTTTGAGTTGGATTTTTTTTTAGATTCATCCATGTTAAAATCAGGAACCTCTAGCACAAACATCTCTGTCCTTTAATATCATGATCAACTATTTGCAGGTGAAATTAATTGTGTGTGTGTTTTTTTTTCTATCACATTTCTGTGTTTGCAGATGGTAATTTTCAAATTTGGGAAAAAACTATTTATTCCCCTCCCTTAGATGGGCGTTACAGGGCTTTACCATATACTGTAAAGGTTTTACAGGCAGGAAGCAATGTTTAGCCCTCATACTTGTTTCACCATATATTCTCTACTAAATATATTATTTCACGTTCTAAAACATGAAATTATAAAATCACATAGTCTTATTATAATTTCTCATGGCCAAAACGCATGCACGCGCAAGCACACGCGCACACAGCCCTCCCTTTCTCCCTCCGCCACATCCCATTCATTTGGCTCACATGCCCTTATATGGAAACTGTGGTGTGAGCTGTTTACACCAATCACAGTTGCACTGGGAGGTCTGTGGAGAGGAAGCTGCTGCACTCTTTGGGTGGGGTCTGGGTTCTGTCAGGGAGGGACCAAACCAAAAAAACCAGCCGGCTTCTTGTCCTGTTTGAAAATGAATGATATGCATTAGCTTTAGCAGCAGCGACAGCAGTACTAGTGATAGTAGTAGTAGTAGGCACTTGTAAAACTGGGCGGATTGCAATTTTGTGGGGCATCTTAAAACTACAACGTGTTGAAGAGCTTTTAGACAGATCGTTGGACCAAAATGCAATGTAAGTGTATTTTTAAGTATATTTTCATGGATTGCAAGGCATGTGATAGCACCCCAAATTTTAGTTAGCATCCAAATTAATCGCAAATTTAGATCTACCTTGTTTACATGATATATTTTTAACTATATAATCTGATCCATACCAAAATCACAACTCCTTAAAGGTTTGACATAAAGATATTTTTTTTATATAAATGTGCATTTTTTTCTCAGTGGAGTGGTGCTTTGGTATGGATACTCCAAACACAAACATTGGTATGATTTTATGTTTGGTTGTATTTTTTGTATCTGATTTAGCAATATTTCTCATGAATCCTTTTTTTATAAGAATTTGGATTTTTAAAATGCTCACATTTGTGATTTCATTGAGGTTATAGCTTCATAGATCTGTCATGTCACGCTTTTTCACAGAATATATTGGAGGAAATACAACATCTCAGTAATTGTTTTTATTGTTTGTTCTTTTCATCTTGCTTTCCCCAATGTCATAAATGAAAGCGTAAAGCATGTTGTGTGTGGGGATATGCTTCTGATTACGCACCGTAACAAATCCGCAGTGCTGCTCCCGGATGGGCAGAAAGCAGCAGCAGCTACAATGCAATGTTCAACAAGAAGAATATACATGCTTTTGTAGCTTGTTTTAAATTGAACAGAATATATTTTCACATGCCACAGGCGCACAGACGGTATAGTTGTTGTGATGGCACAGATGTACTACTGTAGTCATAGGGATTTGTGTAACTGATGTGGCATGGGGCTATTGTTATGGCTCTCCTTGTAGTGTAGTTTATATGTTTTGGTAGCAGGAAGGACAAGACTATATACATATATTTTGCATTGTATTTGCTGTCATTCTATTTGCTTATAAAGACACATTTAGAGTTTGCTTATTTTTGTTGCATGGGACTATAGGATTGGAAAATATTGGAAAAATTACTAGTCTCCATTTCTCGGTTTGGACATAAACACTACATGCGTATTTTGGACAAGACTGAAAAATGATAACACAATCCTATACTTTTCAGAACATGCAATAAATAATGTAATCATTTCAATAAAATTGTCAAATTGCAATTTTGATTCCCATACGATTAATTTGGCAGTTTATGGAAGAGTTTTTGATACATGGAAGATATATTTGCTCTGCTGCACAGGCTGATACTGGTGATTGCTGATCATGATATTAAATGCATCAGTAAGCAATCAGTTTTAAAAACCTACATTTCACAATTAAAACTGATAAAATAAATGTTCTGAAAATTGACCGATACAGATTTATTGTCCTTCCCTATTCCTTCCCATGCAACCTTTTTCAGATTTCCATATTAGCGTTATTTTTGTATCCGACTCAAATACACAAACATGGGAAATATTAGAGTCGAGTAATGTTTGACAAAACTAATCTAATCTTAAATTACTCCTAATCTTTAGGAGTAATTTTGGTGAGATGAATGTGAACAACGGAACTATCCATCTACAAATGTACATATCCATCTACAATGTACATGTAAAAAAGGATCCAAAAGATCTATTTTACATGTACATTGATTAATGTAAATAACTTCACATTTGTCACATTTCATCAAACATGGTCATTCGCCTCAGCCAAAACTCTTTGTCATTTGTTTATGCTCTGTATACTATTGTAGTCTGAGTGAAGATACTGACAGAAAAAAATGATAAACTAAACATGTTTTTGTTTTTTCTTAATAAATGCAACATATGGCCAAATCTTTCTTAATTATGCCTGCCACTATTGACCAATTCTACAAAAGCAGATAAACAGGGCAATATATTTTGGTGCTCAGTAATGGAGAATCTTAACAATTCTTTTATTTGTCATATATTGTACAACATATACAATACTCACCGGCCACTTTATTAGGTACACCTATCCAACTCCACTTTAATGCAAATTTCTAATCAGTCAATCACATGGCAGCATGTAGACATGGTCAAGATGAACTGCTGCAGTTCAAACTGAGCATCAGAATAGAGAAGAAAGGTGATTTAAGTGACTTTGAACGTGACATGGTTATTAGTGCCAGACAGGCTGGTCTGAGTATTTCAGAAACTTCTGAACTTCTGAGATTTTCACACACAACCATCTCTAGGGTTTACAGAGAATGGTCCAAAAAAGAAAATATCCAGTGAGCGGCAGTTTGGTGGGCAAAACTGCCTTGTTGATCCTGGGACCTCTGGATGTCAGAGGAGAATGGCCAGACTGGTTCGAGCTGATAGAAAGGCAACAGTAACTCAAATAACCACTTGTTACAACCAAAGTATGCAAGAGAGCCTCTCTGAACACAGAACAGAACCTTGAGGCAGATGCGCTACAGCAGAAGAAGACTGCACCGGGTGCCACTCCTGTCAGCTAAAAACAGGAAACTGAGGCTACAATTCACACAGGCTCACCGAAATTGGACAATAGAAGATTGGAAAAAGTTTCCTGGTCTGATGAGTATCGATTTCTGCTGCGACATTCGGATGGTAGGGCCAGAAATGGGAGTCAAAAACATGAAAACATGGATCCATGCTGCTTTGAATCAACGGTTCAGGCTCGTGATGGGGGTGTAATGGTGTAGAGGATATTTTCTGGCACTCTTTGGAGTCCCTTAGTACCAATTGAGCATCGTTGCAATGCACGTGGTTGCTTTTTTCCATTAGTGCAACACTTGGGTATATGGCTACTCCGCAGTTTTTTACAGTTCAATAATAAACACATTTAAAATCCCAATCTCGGGGGGCGCTGTTGGACACCATGGGGTGAAGACGTGTTTCCCGGAGCTCCTCAAGGCACTAACAATATATATATATTTTAAAAGCACTTTCATTTTTTGGACATTCACATCTCGTTCTCAATGGTGACTCCACTTGTTGCCGTCAATGTTGTGACATTTGGAGGCTTGGAAGAATGCTTTGCACGGCTGTGGAGGTAGCCTGTTGCAGCCCTGCTAACTAGCATTGTTAGCCTCTGCAGCTTCGCATTGCTTCATCAGTCGAGACAGCCGATTGCAGCGCTCTGGAACTCGTACCTCGAACGGCGAACACCTCCGCACTTCAGAATCACAAATTACCTCGCACCAGATAAGTCAGAACGAGTTATAACCTCCTGTGATGCCCCTGAGCTAAAGCTAATGGCTAGCCGTCCACGGCCACGTGAGTAGCAGTGACGTCACCGCCTTTGTCTACTTTCTGGCTGCTCTTTTACTCTGTTTTGGACGAGTTTTTCTTCAAAAATACACCCTTTTTGCAACCATGGGGGATAAAGAGTCTGTCCGAACTAGGGGTAAACGGAAAACAGCCGGGATAAATGTTGTGGGGCCTGACGTGTCTCCGGCCCGCTCACCAGAACTGGAGCGCTCTGGTTCGCGGAGCGAGACAGATGATAGCGACGCTCACGACACACCGTTGACTGAAGCAACTCTTATTAAAGCACTCGAGAGCTTGAAGAGGGATATTTGTGAAACGCTCGATTCTAAAATTGACACTGTCGCTCTCTCACTAAGGTCTGAGATATCCTCTGTTAAAGCTGAATTTAAAGGCACCATTCAGAGCCTCCAGGCCACCGTGAATGCTCAGGGAGCCACTATTACAGATCTGGAACTATCGGCAACTACTTGCAGTGATGATGTGTCCTCTCTCAAAACCTCTCTTGCTGCTTTGAAAGGCGAAGTAATGCATTTACAGGCAAAATGTGAGGACCTGGAGGGAAGATCCAGGCGTAATAATATCCGCCTGATTGGTTTACCCGAGGAGCAGGAGACGTCCAATCCCAGAGAGTTTGTTTCAAAGCTTCTTCAGGATCTTCTGAAATTGGACGATGCACCTCTACTAGATCGGGTCCACAGATCCTTGGGCGAGAAGCCAAAGCCAGGAGTCCCGCCACGGCCTTTGATCATTAGAGTGCATTTTTTTCACCTGAAGGAGCAGATACTGCGCTGTGCTGGGACTAATGCACCTCTCCTCTACCAAGGCAAAAGGCTCTCCATCTTCCCAGACTTCACCTCTGCAGTTGCAAAAAAGCGCTCACAGTTTACTACTGCAAAGCGTCTTCTGCGCTCATGTGCTGGTGTTAAGTATGGCCTGTTTTATCCTGCCGAGTTGAGGATCACACTTCCAGATGGAGTGGTGCGTAAGTTTTCTGACCCAAAAGCTGCCACTGACTTTATTGATAAGATCTTGGGGGACGCTAGTGCCCTTTCGGATTAATATCTCTTGAGAGACCAATGTTCATGTATAGCTTGTTTTCTATTCTCAACTGTTATTTATGACTTGGTTAGTGGTTTAATAGAAACATTTAGGCTATAGTTAAAAATGTTGTTGGATGTTTACATTTATCCTGTGTTTAAATTGAGTGTTTTTGTTTTTTCTGGTATAATATGATTTTTGTATTGTAATTTTTATGTTATATATATATATATATATATATATATATATATTTATTTCTACTTGGAAAAATTGAAAGAAATTGTTATTGCTTTGACTTTGGGAGTTTTGGCTCTACTGGGACTTTGTATGTTTAGGACAAAGTGCCTGGTGGGTTGTGAACAGGGGGGTGCGCGCATCTCATTTGGGGAGATGCTTCAGCAGTTTGGGGTAAGTGTTTGTTTTTTGTGGTTGTACTGCTCTGTACAATTCAGATCATTTATTTATCAAGACTATCGTAATAGCCACTCCCACATGTTTACTTTTCATTTCCATGTCATTGCCACTTAATACTAGTAATCAGCCAGCAGGTCAATCGGTGAAGTTTTGTAGTTGGAATTGTAAGGGTCTGAATCAACCTATTAAAAGGAGCAAGGTGCTCCATCATTTAAAACATTTGGGTGCCCAGATTGCATTTTTACAAGAGACTCACTTAAAAATGTCTGATCACTCCAGACTTCGAAGGGGTTGGGTAGGCCAATTGTTTCACTCATTGTTTCAAAGTAAAGCTCGTGATGCCGCTATTCTAATCCATAAATCTGTCCCATTTGTATCTGCAACTATTATTGCCGATCCTAATGGTAGGTATATTATTGTCAGTGGAACTATTTTTAATACAAAGTATATTTTTGCAAACATATATGCACCTAATTGGGACGATTGCAATTTTTTCATTAACCTCTTTAAAAAAATCCCAGATTTATCTTCACATTTTCTTATCCTTGGTGGGGACTTTAACTGTTGGTTGGGTCATCTGGATCGATCATCAACCAAACCTACCAGGCAGTCTAATTCCTCCAAAGTTATAAACACCTTTCTTCAAGAATTTTCTGTTGTTGACATCTGGCGGTTTCTTAATCCAACATGCAGAGAGTATACTTTTTTCTCCCCAGTTCACCATACATACACTCGTATAGATTACTTTCTCCTTGACAATCAACTAATTCCACATGTTCGCTCTTGTTCTCATGATGCTATTGTCATTTCGGATCATGCTCCTGTGATTATGGACTTGGTCATTGGTAGAGGTTCTCCTTCTTTTGTTCCATGGCGTCTGAATACGCGCTTATTGTCAGATGACAAATTTGTTGCCTTTCTAACCTCCAAGATTGACCTATTTGTAGCCACAAATGCCGAACCAAATATATCACCATCTCTGCTCTGGGAAACTTTTAAGGCTTTCATCAGGGGGCACATTATATCCTATACTAAGTATGACACAGGACAAAGGAAAAGAAGACTGTCTGAGCTCATGACACAGATTCTACAGTTGGATCAGTTATATGCTACATCCCCCTCACCTGAAGTGTATAATGACAGATTATCTTTACAAGCGGAGTTCGATCAGTTGACATCGGTTCAGGCGGAGGAACAATTGTTGAAGTCACAATATTCCCACTATGAGTATGGGGATAAGGCTAGTAAACTTCTATCTCACCAGCTTCGTAGTGCAACAGCAGCACATCTTATTTCTCAGATACAAACGTCTAATGGCATATCGCCTGACCCTCAAATAATCAATCAATTTAAGGCATTTTATTCTACCCTCTATACCTCTGAATGCTCCCCCAGTGCACAGTCTCTGGAGTCTTTCTTTGCCCATTTAGATCTTCCTAAAATGGACCAGACTCTTGTGCTTCAACTGGAGACAACGGTGACAGTTGATGAGATCGTACAGGCTACAAACAAGATGCAATGCTCTAAATGCCCTGGACAAGATGGATTTCCAGTTGAATTTTATAGAAAATTCATGCCTAAATTAGCACCTCTACTGATAACAATGTACATGCACTCATTTGAGACTGGTTCTCTTCCCCCCTCTTTACGTCAGGCTTCCATATCTTTGATCCTGAAAAAGGAGAAGGATCCTCTGTCCTGTGGCTCGTATCGCCCCATTTCTCTGCTAAATGTAGACTATAAGATTCTTGCTAAACTGTTAGCTACACGCATGGAGACTACTTTACCTTCAGTAATTGGTCCAGATCAGACGGGATTCATTAAGGGGAGATACGCCTTCTCCAATCTCAGACGGTTGTTTAATGTTCTGTATAACCCTCCTCATTTGACCGACCCTGAGATGGTTATAAGTTTAGATGCAGAGAAAGCATTTGATAGGGTCGAGTGGGGGTACCTTTTCTATGTTTTAGAGAAGTTTGGGTTTGGTAAAAAGTTGATTTCTTGGATTAGGCTCCTTTACACCTCCCCCCTTGCCTCTGTCAAAACAAACAATACACATTCAAAGTTTTTCCCACTTTTTAGAGGTACAAGACAGGGCTGCCCGCTGTCGCCGCTGCTTTTTGCAATCGCCATAGAACCCCTCGCCGTCTCTATTAGATCTGATCCTCATATTACTGGAATCATGCGATATGGTACTGAGCAAAAGATCTCGTTGTATGCTGACGATTTGCTTCTTTACATTTCCAGGCCTACTCTTTCAATTCCCGCATTGCTTGCAATTCTTGGCCGGTTTAGTCTCATATCAAGCTATAAATTGAATCTTGGCAAAAGTGAGCTCTTCCCCCTGAATTTAGCTGCACAGAAGTACCCTGACCTGCTACCTTTTAGAGTGGTTTTTGACAGTTTCATATATTTAGGAGTTAAGGTTACGAGAAAACTTTCAAATCTTTTCAAATCTAATTTTGACCCTCTCCTGGATAAAGTTAAACAAGATTTTGATAGATGGTCTCTATTGCACTTAACAGTTGCTGGTAGGAGTAACACTGTCAAAATGAATGTGCTTCCTAAATTCTCCTTTCTTTTCCAATGTGTTCCAGTCTTCATTCCAGCCTCCTTTTTCGCTAAGCTTGATGGAACTATTTCTGGCTTTATTTGGAATAACAAAACTCCAAGAATTCGTAAAACATACCTTCAGAGGCCTAAGGATGTTGGTGGGATGGCTTTGCCGAATTTAATGTCCTATTATTGGGCATCTAACATTCGTGTTCTGAGGTACTGGTTGCAGGTGGAATCTCTTAACGATGCTCCAGCCTGGCTGTGCTTGGAAGCCTCTTCCTGCGTCACATCATCTTTAGCTGCTTTTGTTTATGCTCCAAAGCAACTGCCTAGCTCAGAGTTTTCTAATAACACAATTGTTAAGATGACTTTGAAAATTTGGTTTCAGTTTAGACGTTTTTTCAAATGCAACCACTTTTCTTTAAAAGCCCCCATTGTGAAAAATCCATGTTTTAAGCCTTGTTTGGTTGATGGTGCGTTTCTAATTTGGTCTTCCCTTGGAATTAAGTCATTCAATGACCTTTACATTGATGGAATCTTTGCCTCCTTTGTGCAGCTATCATCTAAATTCAGTCTCCCAAAGAATCATTTCTTTCGCTACTTACAAATTCGGAGTTATGTGAAGGAAAAAACTTCTCAGTTCCCATCAAAACCTCCACATCATGACTTTGATGATCTGCTGTTGCCCCCTCCACCATCTAAGGGTATTATATCATGTCTGTATGACCGAATATGTTCCTTTGGGAACTCTTCAATCTCCCCCATAAGGGCAGCATGGGAGCAAGAGATAGGATTTGTGATCCAGGATGATTCATGGCATAAAGTTCTCTCCCGTGTACATAGCTCTTCACTATGCGCTAAACATAGCTTAATTCAATGTAAAGTTTTGCATCGCACTCACTGGTCAAAAGCTCGGCTCTCTCAGATATATCCAAACGTTAGTCCAGATTGTGACCGGTGCCACCAAACGCCTGCAAATCTGACTCACATGTTTTGGTCATGCTCATCACTTCGACATTTTTGGAGCTGTGTTTTTGCAACAATATCAAAGGTCGTACAGTCGTCCCTCCAACCTGAACCTTTAACTGCTATTTTTGGGGTTTTACCTGAAACAGTTGTCCTACCAAGGCTTAAATCTGATTTTATTGCTTTTCTGACGTTGTTAGCCAGACGAAGGATATTATTGTGCTGGAAGTCCCCATCCCCCCCGTTATTTGAAATTTGGATAAAGGATGTCTTGCATTTCAGCAGACTCGAGAAGATTAAATTTACTCTTCGTGGATCCACATATAATTTTTTTAAAATCTGGCAACCCTTTGTTGAGTATATTCAGACGTTAAGGACCCGTAAAATACCCACTTAAGTAGGCCTGTATGTGGCTGATGTGTACATATAAGTATATAGGTAAGATGTATATTTTTGTTTTGTGACACTTGTATATATGCGTTTGCACATTCGTATGTCTTTCCTGTTGCTACTGACGTTGACTTGTGACGTGTGTGGGGCTATTTCAACTCTTAAAATATATATATTTGTTTTATTTATTTTTATTATTTTTTTTTTCTTTGTTTTGTTTTTGTTTTTTGTATGTCTGTTCTTGATTTGGAAAAAAAAAAGCCATAATTTCTGCATAACTTTTTTGTGAAATGTTTTGGAAAAACCCAATAAAATATGTTTGAAAAAAAAAAAAAATCCCAATCTCTATACCACAAAGTCCATCCAAAATGCCTCTCTTGTTGCTTTTCATCTGCAAATAATCCTGAGTCATTATGTTTAAACTGTCTCACCCTGACATCTTCACAAACAGGTTTTAAAATGCTAATTTATTTATTTGCAACCTTTTTGAAGAAACAAAGTTATATCACTCTAGAAATGTTTCACCCCGACAGAGAATATGACAAACAAAACATGTAGAACTGAAGCTGAGTGCTTTTCTAAACTCAGAAGCGCGGCTTACCACAATTAATTATTTCACTCAGTCGCATATGCAAAGTAAGTCATTTAAAAATTTCATTTAAGGTTAAGTTTGGGTTTAAATGCAAGGAGTCAAA